TTGATTCGACCAGTAATAAATGAACATTAAAAACTCACTTGTTTCCTCTAATCTTGAACCAGGCCTCAGCACACTGTTTATGAGCAACAGCTAAATCATCTTTGCAAGAACAACCCAATTGAATAGCAATCCCAGATTCATGGCTATTACTCTCAAGACCCAGATGGCAAATCCTACAATCTTTCTCCCCCTCCACTTTACTACTATCCATGTGCACTTTTATTTCAACTTCACCCCCTTGACTTTCAATCTCCACTGAACAATCAGATGATGAAGAAACTGAAGATACCCTCCTCGAAACGGCGGCATCGGAAACGCAGGCAAAACTGTACTCATCGTAGGACCCAGCTGTCGTTGAGTAGAACTGAGAGTAGCATGAGCCACCGTCCTCGGCGTCTGAGAAGCACACGCTGACGTCACTTCCGGCGATTGAGTGGCGGTGGTGGCCATCATTTTCAGTACCGCCTTGCTCTATATCAACATGGGACATTTCTTGAACTGACATTATATTGTTTCAAAGACTTGAAAGCATTAAAAAAGCTTAGAGCTCAAAACTTTCATAAAATGTTAACAAAAATGGAAGGATTTAAAGAACTGGGTATTGGATTTGGTGATCTCACAACTCCATTAAATGTTTCTGTTAACAAAAAGGTTTTAAAACAATAAAATAAGTTAGAAGGTTTGGAGTTTTATGAAGAACGTAAAGGAAAAGAGAGAGTTAAACAAAATAAACAATGGTAGTCTATGAGACAAAGACTGAAGCTTTTGCTAAGAAACTTGGACTGAGACCCACTGCGAGGAAGAACAGAAAACGAGCTGTGGATACATAGAAATCGAGGAGAGATTTCATTTAATAAAGTGAAAGACTAAAGATAGACTTGTTGTTTCACTTGGGATCTTTTTCTTCTTAGCAGATTCTGTACGTTTGATTCTTAAAATTGTGAATCTAAGTGATGATCAAAGGGTTAATATTGAAGAGAGAATTACAGCTTGAAAGAGCCAGTCAGTTGCGAAGAAATTTCTAAGGTTATATTATTACATGTCGGATGATCCATTTTGTTTTGTCGTTTTTCTTTTCTATTTGTTTTTTTATGCGTATAATATACGATCTTAATAAACTATTTATCGTACAAGACTCCAGGTATTATTATTTAAAATATATACTTTGTATTTATTTACATGTTGGGCTGTAATACGTTAATTAATAAGAATATTATAATTCATATAAATACATCTATCTGTTTATAAAATTCAGGAATTTAGAATCGGATGCCTTCAAATTGTAGTATTTTTGTAATATGTTAAAATAAATAAAACAAAACTTTTAATATAAATTTTACTGAATTCGTAGCTTGCTAGTAACTAATGTGAAGCACACTTATTCATAATTTTTATTTATTTAAATGTATAATTAATTGATATTTTTGAGTGTATTATAATTTTAAGTTCGAATCTTTCTTTGATTGTTAATAAAATAATCTTTGATTGTTAATAAAATAATCGTTAAATCTCAGTTACAGGGTTTTGAAAAATTATTTAAGTTACGCGTAAATTTTTTACTATTAAATAAAAAGTAAAAAATAAACGATGGCGTGTGATAATTGTTTAAGCGGAAACATCTTTATTGAACAGGTTGACTATGGGTGGACCAGAAGCGGACCACGCGTAATTTAGATCTGCTGCCTTTGCTTGGTGGAACCGCACAAAGCCTTATTATTAATAATTATCAATTTAGCGGAGAAAAACAGGGAAAATTCCAACAATACTAAAAGCCAACCCTCATATGCTGACAATTACATCAATTTGATAATTGAT